GTTGAAACATCCCTGGCATAAATCCCACTTGATCATGGTGTATGATCATTTTAATGTATTGTTGTAGTCAGTTTGCTAGTATTTTGTTGAAGATTTTTGTATCTGCAGGCATCAGAGATATTGGCCTGTAATTTTCTCTTTTGTTGTTGTCATTGTCTGGTTTTGATATCTGGGTAATTTTGGTCTCATGGAAAGAGTTAGGAAGCTTCCCGTCCTCTTCAATTTTTTGGAAGAATTTGAGAAGGATATGTATTGTCTTCTTTGAGTGTTTGGTAAAATTCACCAGGGAAGCCATCTGCTCTTGGACTTTTGTTTTCTGAGAGGTTTTTGATTACTGTTTCAATCTCCTTACTGGTGATTGGTCTATTCAAATTCTCTATTTCTTCTTGATTTCATTTTGGAAGGTTGTGTGATTCTAAGAATTTATCCATTTCTTCTAAATTATCCAATTTGTTGGTGTATAGCTTTTAGTAGTATTCTCTTATAATTTTTTGTATGTCTGAGGTGTCTGCTGTAATTTCTCCTGTTTAATTTCAGGTTTTATTTATTTGAGGCTTCTCTCTTTCTTCTTGGTGAGTCTAGCTAAAGTTTTGTCAATTTTGTTTATCTTTTCAAAGAACCGGCTCTCTGCTTCATTGATTTTTTTCTATTTATTTTAGTCTTTCATTTATTTCTGCTCTGATTTTTATTATTTCCTTCCTTCCTTCTACTGCTTTGGGGCTTTGTTTATCCTTCTTTTTCTAGTTCCGTTAGGGGCACTGTTAGGTTGCTTGAGATTTTTCTTGTTTGTTGATGTAGTCTATATTGCTATGAACTGCCCTCTTAGTACTGCTTTTGCTCTATCCCATAAATTTTTTGCATGTTGTATTTTCATTTTCTTTTGTCTCCAGGTATTTTTTGACTTCTCCTTTTATTTCATCTTTGACCCAATTGTTGTTCAGTAGCATTTTTTTAATCTCCACATATTTGTGGCTTTTCCAGCTTTCTTCTTGTAGTTGATTTCTACTTTCATACCACTGTGGTCAGAAAAGATGCTTGGTATTACTTCAATCTTCTTAAATTTATTGTGACTTTTTTGTGCCCTAATATGTGATCTATCCTGGAGAATGTTCCATGTGCATTGAAAAAGAATGTGTATTCTGTGGTTTTTTGGATGGAGTGTTCTATATATAACTGCCAAGTCCATGTGATCTAATGTGTCATTTAAATCCAATGTTTCCTTTTTGATCTTGTTTTTGGATGATCTATCCATTCATGTAAGTGGAGTGTTAAAGATCCCTACCATTATTGTATTACTTTAAATGTCTCCTTTTATGTCTGTTAATAATTGCTTTATATACTTAAGTCCTCCTATGTTGGGTTCATAGATATTTATGAGTGTTATGTCCTCTTGTTAGATTGTTCCCCTTATCATTATGTAGTACTCTGTTTTGTTTCTTGTTATACTTTTTGTTTTAAAGTCTGCTTTGTCTGATAAAAGTATTGCTACCCCAGATTTCTTTACATTTCCATTGCATAGAGTATATTTTTCCACACCTTTACTTCCACTTTGTGAGTGTCTTTAGGTCTGAAGTGTGTCTCTTGTATGCATGATATATTTGGGTCTTGTTTTTTAATCCATTCAGCCACCATATGTCTTTTTATTGGAGCATTTAGTCCATTGACATTTAAAGTTTCCATTGAAAAGTACGTACTTACTACCATTTTGTTACTTTTTTCTGGGTGATTTAGTAATTCTCCTTTGTTCCTTTCTTCTTCTCTTGCTCTCTTCCCTTGTTGTTTGATAGCTTTCTTTAGTATTATGTTTGGATTCCATTCTCTTAATTTCTTGTGTATATATTTATTATATTTTGTGTATGTATAATTTATTATGTGTATATGTTATTTATTATAGGTTCTGGTTTCCGATTACCATGTGATTCATATATAATAAACTATGTAAAGAGCAATTTTTATTAAGTTGATCTCTTAAGTTTGACCTCTTACTAAAAGGCCTACAGTTTTACTCCCCTTCCCCTATTTTGTTTTTGATATGATATTTAACCTGTGTGTATGTGTGTATCCCTTAACCTCTTATCATGGAGATCTATGTTTTTAGTACTTATGTCTTTTGACCTTCATTTTAGCTTTATAGGTGGTTGATCTGTTACCTTTACTGAATATTTGTCTTACCAGGCCAAATATTTTTCTTCTTGGTAACTTTCTTCTCCTATTTGTGGTCTTTTCTCTCCCACTTAAATAAGTCTCTTTAACATTTCTTGTAAGGCCAGTTTATTGGTGATAAACTCCTTTAATTTTGTTTGTCTGGAAAACTCTTCATTTCTCCTTTCATTCTGAATGATAACTGCTGGGTAGAGTTTTCTTGGCTATAGGTTTTTTCCTTTCAGCACTTTGAATATATCTTGCCACTCTCTTCTAGCTTATAAGGTTTCTGTTGAGAAGTCAGCTGATAACCTTATGGCATTTCCTTTGTGTGTAACTTGTTGCCTTTCTCTTGGAGCTTTTAGGATTCTCTCTTTATCTTTAATTCTTGAAATTTTGCTTATAATTTGTCTTAGTGTCAGCCTCTTTGGGTTCATCTTGTTTGGTGCTCTCTGTGCTTCCTGTACCTGGATGTCTGTTTCCTTCCTTGGATTAGAAAAGTTTTCAGCTATTATTTCTTCAGACAGAATCCCTGCCCCTTTGTCTCTCTCTTCTCCTTCTGGGACACTTATAATATGGATGTTAGTTTACTTGATGTTGTCCCAGAGGTCCCTTAGACTGTCTTCATTCTTTTTAATTCTTTTCCCTTTTTTCTGTTGAGTGTGGATGATTTCCTCTACTCTTTCATCCAGCTTACTGATTCATTTTTCTGTGTCATCTACTCTTCTGTTGATTCCTTATAGTGAATTTTTCACTTCCGTTATTGTATTCTTCAATTATACTTGGTGCTTTTTTATATTTTTCAATTCTTTGTTGAAGTTTTCACTGTGTTCATCTGTTCTTCTTCCAAAATCAGTGAGCATCCTTGACTATTAGTTTGTAATCTTTATCAGGTCGATTGTTTATTTCAGTTTTGTTTAGTTCTTTTTCTGAAGATTTGTCCTATTCCCTTATTTGGAACATATTCCTTTGTCTCCTCACTTTGTCTACCTCTCTGTGCTTGTATCTATGTATTATGTAGATAAGCTACCTCTCCTGATCAGAGAGATGTAGCCTCATGTAAGAGATGCCTTATGGGGCCCAGCAATGGTCTTCCTTCTCATCACCAGTTCCAAATGTTCCAGGAGTGTCCTCTGTGTGGGCCACATGTGCACCTTCTGTTGTGTCAGGGTTGCTCTTGCTGTGGGTGCATGGGTAAGCTAAGCTGGCCTGAGGCCAGCTGGTTGCAAGGGTCAGCAGCATGCGGCTGCTATCATTACTTTAGTCACTTTATCAGGTGGTACAATCCCCAATATGGCTGGCTGCAAGTTCTAGTAGCACACACCTGTTGCTGTTTTTCTCTTAAGTGAGTTATACCCCCAGCATGTCTGGTTACTAGGCTCAGGGGCTCACAGTTGCTGTAGGCCTCCAGTCTGCAAGGCTTTTGCTAGATATTTCAGGACTGCAACTATGCGTGGGGACGTTGGCCCCAGTTGTGGCAGCACACAATCCTTTCAGGTGTTAGAAGGTGGAGCAGATCCCCTTTGTGACTGTTTGAGATGGTCAGTGGCACAAATCTGCTCCAGCTGACACATCCCACTGCCCACAGGTCCACACATCCCACCAATGTAGTCCCACCCTGTGTGCAAGTTCCACCCCACTGAGGCAAACCCACTCACCCTGCTACAGAGGTCCTATACAACCCACCTATGTGGGCCCACAAGTTCCCTGTAGGCTTGCTGGTGGTTGGGATGAGTCCCTAAGGTGGGCTGCCTGTCTTGGCTGAGCTGGATTAAATAAGTGCTCTAGTGGGTGGGGCAAACCTCTGTGCTAACAGACCACAGGAAGAAATTCAATGGCATCTGCTAGCTTCTGTGTCAGCATGCCTGTACTAGGTCACAGTAATGGCTATCACTAATGTCTCAGTTCCTGTGAAGGTGGGCCCAGGTGCTTCTAGTCTCTCTGATATATACTAGAAAACAATGGAAAGAACAATGTCTTGCTACACAAAACAACAAGAATAACCTTTGCAGACATAATGTTGAAGTCAGTTACAATAAAGTACATACTTTGTTATTGCACATATAAATTTAACCATAGTTAAACTGATCTGCAGTGATAAAAGTCAAAAGAGGGATAAATACTGAAAGAAGGGTTAAAGGATGCTTATAAGCTACTGGAATTGTTCTATTTCTTAACCTTGGTAGTGGTTACACTGGTGTATTTACCACTTAAAAAATAAATCAAGCTGTACACTTAGGATTTGTGAACTTCTCTGTATATATGTTATATTTCAATCAGAATGTTTGTGCAAAAAGTGAGCAACACATCCATTTATCTCATTTTGAATATATATATCACTATACAACTCTTTAGTTTAATTAAATACAAGCAAGGAGTTAGCCCTCGTCAACTGGATTTAAAATACCAGAGTAAAAAAAGTGATTTCTCCAGGAACATCTACATGTCTTTGTCACCAGAAATGTCTACAGATGAGGATCTTTCCTATTCCTGAAGATTTCCGTGGAAAAATATTTCATACACTCTATTGTGAATTCATTCCAAGCATTGAGACTGCAAACCGGATATTAAATAGATAATTCCAAATAAAGAATCAAATTTAAAATCCCTGCTTTTCTTCAGGCAATAAAGCAACTCACCTAAGAAAGATTCAGCACTTTTCTGTTCTTTTGCTGGAGACATTTTTGCTGGGAGCCCTGTCCTCAACCAGTCAGGTCCCACTGAGTTCGTGTTCTGTGCATTCACAGCAGTACCTGAATTTCAGGCCCTCTTTTCCCTGCATTTCTCTTCCTCTACTTAATGACCCTTTGTGGCAACACAGCCATCATCTGGGTGATGTGCAGACTCGGCTCCCTTCTATGTATTTCTTCCTGTCCAATCTGTGGTTCCTGGAAATCTGCTACACCTCTGTTGTGGTGCCTTTGATGCTTTCTAACATTTTTGGGACCCAGAAGCCAATTCTGTTGGCTGGCTGGGGGGCTCAAATGTTCTTTTTTGTCACCCTTGGCAGCACAGACTGTTTTCTCTTGGCAGTCATGACTTATGAACTCTACATGGCCATCTGCTACCCACTGCACTACACCCTTGTCATGACCCAGAAGCTGTGCATCCAGATGGTGGCCAGTGCCCTGGGCCTGGCCCTCTTCCTCTCTGTGCAGCTCACATCCTTAATCTTCACCCTGCCCTTCTATGGGCACCACCAGGAAATCAACCATTTCCTCTGTGTTGTGCCTCCGGTCCTGTGGCTGGCCTACACCGACATCCACGTGCTCCAGGCCATCCTCTATGTCGTGGGCATCCTGGTGCTGACTGTCTCTTTCCTGCTTACCTGTGTCTCCTATGTGTTCATCATCTGTGCCATCCTGCACATCCGCTCTGCTGAGGGTCACTGGCAGGCCTTCTCTACCAGCTCCTCCCATCTCACTGTGGTCTTGCTGCAGTATGGGTGATGCAGCCTGGCCTACCTGAGTGCCCAGTCTGGCACCTCTGATGATGAGGACTGCCAAATCGCCCTGGTCTACACCTTTGTCACCCCCATACTCAATCCCCTTATCTATACTCTGTGAAAGAAGGATATCAAAGGTGCTCTGAGGAATGCTGTCTTGGTAAAACGGTGTCTAGTACCAGTTGAAGGCTTAGGGGGTCTAGTGTGGGTACCTGTCACTTGCCATGATAATAAACTCTAAATGATAAATATAGAATTATAATACTTACTTTACCACCCTTTGCAGTTGATATTTCTCTTTTGCCATATTTTCCCCACATCCACAATCTGCACTCATTTTCTAGAGGTGCTTTGAATGAGATTCAAAAATTTGGACAAAACTTTCATGCAGGAGCTCTAGTGTCCTAGCCATATTTTAAAGATTGTAACTCACCGTGGTTACACTCAGGGGCAATTGTTCTATCAGGAACCCGCCCCCCCCCCATATACCCTGGGAATAAAGGTTGATACCTTTACACATCCTGCCTCCTGAGGAGGCAATAATATTAAATTATCTCGTGAAAGTTGCCTTAAGTAATGACTATTCGTAAAGACATGTATTTTACTCAAAGAAATGTATTTTATTACTGTTTTAGATTTGAATGAATGGCAAACATTAGCTTATTTAATGCATCAATTTCCTTCATCCCATATATCTCAACTTGTCACCTTCATTCACTCATTCTGCCATGCCAAGAAATGGTCAGAAATTAGCATTCGTTGACTAAGCCCCTTCCATGTGCCAGTCATGCTGGAGTATGGAAAACTGCCTCTGGTTGACACCAGCACTGCCTGCAGGACCCATTTATATCTATACTTGTGTTTTTCACTAAACCTCTGCTGTTTCTCCTTCCTCACCTCTTCTGTCTTCTTATTGGCTGCTTCTCAAGGAGCCACTCAATGGGTGGCACCACTGTTCCTCCCATCTACTGCTCGATGGCTATAACATCTTCCTGTAGCTGTGCCCCAACCACAGACAAACCCTCAAGCAGAATCAGCTTCCCTCTCCAGTGTTCACAGCTGACACCACACTGAGAAACCTTCTCATTTACCCTGAGGAAAAATGAGGTGAAGAGGGCTCCAGAGACAGTTCTTAAAAGGAAGCATCTCTCCCAGAACAAATAAAGGAGGGTACAACCTATGAGGCATGGGTCTGGATCCAGCCCATAAAATTTAGTTCACAACTCCAGGAAGAGAGTGGGAGTGTCTGCCAGTGGATATCATAACTGATCTAAGAAATTGGTATGACTCTTCCGAATGTCATATAGCTAAGTATACCAAAGGCCTAGAAAGGTTTCTATTCTTTGATTCAATAATTCTTATTCTAAAATCACAACATCAAGAAATTGACAGGGTCATACAAAACTGAAAACATATGTTTGTTTCTATATTTATAAAATTAAAAGTTATTAAAATCTAACTTCAAATATTAGATACATAAACACAACATACTTTAAATCATATTTAAATTAATATTTAAGAATAAAGAGTAATATTTATCATTATAACTATAAGTGATAAAAGTAAGGTACCAACCTATATTTATTTACAATAGGAGCCCAATTTTGTAATACTACATATGCACAACGATGAATAAAAATACAATAAAAAGTTAACAGTTTTATCTGTGACTCATAGAATTAGGATAATTTTTTTCTTCTTTATTCATTTACACATTTTTTCATGTTTTTACAAAAAAAGATTGTGTTGCTTTTATAATCAGAAAAATGATAATTTCTAAAGGGAATCTGAAGCTCATGTAGATTTATTTGGCACATAAAACTTCCATCATCACAGCAAGACCCTCCTCCATTTTTCATATTTTTCCTGGATTAACATTTTTTGTTTTTGTTACCTCTTTTTCTCTTCAAAACTGCTTTTTATACTTTTAATTTTTAAGCTGTTTTCACATGGGGATAAGGAGAACAACTGCAAAACTTTACTTATTCTGGAAATAGTCATGGGTTTAACTATATATTCGAAAAGCCTTTGCTGCCAACTCAGTGTTGGAAGAGAGAAACAGAACTCTCTGGTTGGCTGGTTGCTTATCAACGTATCCAGGCCAAGTCACATCAGAACATAATGAATCAATTAAATGTACACACTGTTCTAGGCATTGTCTGGAATGCCAACAAAAGGAAAGTTTGCAACTGCATTTTCATGCCTCCTTTCATTTTTATTTAATGTCACAATTCATACAGAAAATTCACCTGGAACTCTAAAAGAAGAGAATGAAATGTTACTTTGTTCTGTTGGGGAAAAGGCTCTAAAGAGTTGATCAGTGCTTTCAACTGAATTACTGGGCTTCTCCAGGTATCTTCCTCTACTTATTTTTGCTGAATAGAACGAGCTCCTCCTTCTTGATGAAAAATTATACCCTTAATATAAGAGTCGTTCCATGTAATTATTACATTCTGGATTAAAACATTGAGTGGAGTATCAGCACATTGTGAGTTAAATGATGGGACTTAAATGTCAATGTTTGCCTTGAGAAAATGATGATCCCCTCCTAACAAGGTAGCCTCCTGGCAGCGTAAACAGAAGTCAGAACTTGCAAAATTACTTTAGGTTTCCTTCATTTTTCCTCTCCTTCACCTTCACCACTTCTTTCAAATTCCTGTTTACCACCTGCATGCAGCCTTTTGGGTTTGCAAGTCTGTCCTTGGTATCAACTGCCTTACCGAGAAGTACTTGCCCAGAAAGCAACCTCTCTTCCCACAGACGTCCTCTATCTATGCCTCTCTCATTGAATTTTATTAAAATATATCTTATCAGGTAGTGTATTTAATTGAGTACATGTCTCCACTACTAATTAATAAGTACCTTAAGGCCAGAATACATGATGAAAATATCTCTGATGTGTTGTGAGAGTAGATTTCTCCATTTCTTTCCTTACTGTTTAACTGGTGGATTAAAGGAAGGGTTAGTCACAGTGCTAAGAGTGGTGTTTCCATGTGGGAATTTTTTCCTAGCATTTCTAAAACAATTATTTATTTTTAAATCCAAACTCCGAGAGAAAGTAGTTGAGAAATTAGAAAATTGGTAAAAGTATTATAATTCTTCTGCAGGAATGAAAGAAAACTAGCCAACATAGAGAGGTTACTGTTTAGAGGAGTCCACTCATGTCAAGGGGAAAGCAGGAGCAGAAAACGTAACACACGGAGTCAAAAGTTAAGTCTACATTTCCAGAACCAGGACAAGAAGCAGAGAGAGAAGCAGTCATAATCTAATCAGTCAGTCTTGTTTGTAGCTGTTTCCATGTGTGTGTTCATGGCCCCATCTGCTTCTAACATTAGTCATTATTGCAAATAAAATAAATATTAGTAAGTTGATATGCCCAGGATACTTTATACAAATCCTATGGGTGATGTTCCAAGACAACAAATTTTGGAAGGAAATAATTTCTAAAATTGGCAATCTTGATATGTGATTCTGTTTAGTGTCACAATCTTATTGATAGATCTGAATGTTTAGTTATTCAAATACTACCCAATAATGTTCACAGGGCATTTTCCAGGGTTTGGCTATTCACTATAATCTACACTACTTGGTATATACTAATACACCTAATATTTATAATTATCAAACAAATTTTGGATACCTATAATAAATAAAGAGTATAAAGAATGTTGAAAATATTTTAAGAATAATTTATAATTTCATACATTCCTGAAAATTCTCAGGAATTTGTATTTCTCATTCCCACACGTTGAAACCAAGGAAATCATAAGGGGAGTGTGTGTTTGTGTATTTCTGTGTCGTATAATTAAAACTACTGAGTGTAGATAGAGAGATGGCTGGATAGGAAATGATCGAATGAGAGTGATTATTATACAACAACACATTCTGGGCAGACAATTTGTTTTATGGATATTGGATGGGTCAAAAATAACCTGCAATGTCACGCCATCAAGAATCTCAACAGGTATTTTCATAATGATGACTGCATTTTCTTTACTCTCACTCTCTCTCTCATTCAGTAGTGACTTTGAAAACCACATTGTAAAATTACAGATTCTCGTGAAAATCAGTAGAAGCTTGAAATATGATGGTGATAATTCCTTGTGCTTCTCTTTGCCCAATGGCTCCCATTTGAGAATTGTCCTAGTTGCCTCTTTTAGGTTCCAATCCAGTCTCACGAGAAGGAAATAGTATGGAGCTCCTAGCACTGGGCAAAAGAGGTTACTCAACAGAGATGGGGCACAATTTTGTATAACCATCTTCAGAGACCATAGACCACATACTTGGTGATCTTTATAAAACTATTTAGAAAGACTCCTTTATGTCATAATACAATTCCTTTCACAAATATTTATTATGGACACTCATTTATATATTTTTTCTTAAAGTATAAATGACATATAACATTATATTAGTTTGAGGTGTACAACATAACTATTCTAAATTTGTATATATTGCAAAATGATCACCACAATAAGTCTCGTTAACATACGTCACCATACATGGTTACAGATGTTTTTCTTGTGATGAGTAGTTTTAAGACCTACTCTCTTAGCAACTTTCAAATATGCAATACAGTGTTATTAACTATAGTCGCTAAGTTGTACATTTACTCATTTTTAAACAAATATTCAAACAGAATCTAGCGCTATTTGCCAAAGTCTCTGACTCTCTGGATTTAATGTTCATGAGGGGAAAAGAGACAATAAACAGGCAAATGCTATGAAAATAAGCAGAAGAGTGGTGAGGGGAGCAGGGATTTAGGATGAGAAGGAGAGTGTTGAAGAATAGTGACTTGGAGATGAAGAAGAGACAATATTCTGTGCCAGGCACTGGGTTATCTGCTTGGAATTCATAGACAAAAACACAAGATACTTGCTTTCAAGTTTAAAGACTATTAGGAAAATAAACAGACAAACAATCATAAATCAATCTTTTTTCCCCTAGAGTATAGGAGACTAATATATGCAAGAAGATCATGGTGTAAGTATGTCAATGTCTTCC